TCGGTAAACCGAAAAATTGAAAAATCTATAAATCGAGAAATTGAACAATTTAAAAATTAAACAATTTAAAAATCGAAGAATTGGAAAACCAAAAAATCTAAACCGAGAACTTGAAAAATCGAATAATCGAGAAATCAAAACATCAAGGAAAACAATAAAATTAACGGAAAATCTAGAACTTAAAAATTGAAAAATTAAAATACCTATCGAAAAATTGAAAAACCGAGAAATCGAAACATCAAAAAATGGAAAAATTGAAGAACCGAAACATTTCAAAATCTCAGAACTGAAATACTGAAAAACTGAAAAATGGATGGAAAATTGAAAAATCGAAAAAGTGAAAAAATTCAAAACTGAAATCTTGAAAAACTGAAAAATGGAAAGAAAATTGAAGAATCGGAAAAGTGAAAAAATCCAAAACTGAAACATTGAAAAATCCAGAAATCGAAAAATTGAAAAATCACAATTGAAGAAAGAATTTAAAAATCAATAAATAGAGAAATGGGAAAATCAAAAAATCAGTTAATCGAAAAATTGAAAAATCCAAAAATTTAGAAACGCCAAAAATTGAAAACTGAAAAATAAAAATCGTAAAACTGAAATATCGTAAAGTCAATAAATTGAAAAACTGAAAATTTTTGAAAAAAAAAATCGCATCAAAAACTAAAAATTCAAAAAATCGAGAAATTGAACAATCAAAAAATCAAAACATTGAAATCCCAGTAAGTTGATAAATAGGAAAATTTAAAAAACAAAAATTTTAAAAATCCAAGAATTGAACAACAAAAAAAATCTAAGCCTGAAAACTCAGAAAATTGAATGGTCGAGAACAAAAAATCTAAAATTTAAAAATTCGACAAATGGAAAAAATCATGGAACTGAAAAATCGAAAAGTCGAGATAGTGAGAAATCTAAAAACCTAAAACTTTAAAAACTGAAAAATCAAAATATCGAAAAATTTAAAAACCGAGAAAACAATATAAAAAATTTGAAAAATTGAAGAGACGAAATATTGCAAAATTCCAAAGCTGAAATATTGAAAAACCTAAAAATGGAAGGAAAATTAAAGAATCGAAACAGTGAAAAAATCCCAAACTGAAACATCGAAAATTGAGAAATGGAAAAATGGGAAAATCAAAAAAATTGGTTTAAAGAGTTTAGACAGTACTTCTCTCGCTATCGGAAACGTGACGACTGCATGCCTATTATCTTTTTTTTTTCACATTAGATTTCAAAGCATTCGGTTTTGTAGTTCCTGATTAAATCAATAAAATAAATTTGCGTATTCATTAAATTTTTTGAGTCACCCTGTATATCCGAATCCAAAAAATATGAATGGAATGATAAATTACAAGAAGAGACTCATCATATTTTGTAAACTTTAAATAGCATTATACGGCAAACTTTTGAGCTGACGTCATCAATTTTTTGGAGGGTATAAGCAAATATATTTTGACTAAAAATTTATTATGCTCTTTATAACCTTAAAACATTTGCAAGATTTCAAAGCATTGGGTTCTGTAATTCCTGATTAAATCAATAAAATAAATATCCTATATATGCAAATCCAAAAAACATGAATGGAATGATAAATCACAAGAAGAGACTCATCATATTTTATACAATTTAGATAGGATTTATTCAGCAAAATTTTGAGGTGACGTCATCAATTTTTTAGAAGGGATAAGTAAATATATTGTGATTAAAACGGTCTTGGTTTAATAACAAAAAAATATTGTTCGTCTATAAAACAAGCTCGTCTTAGACAAAGTATTCGTAAAAAAATATGTTGTAAAAAAATTTACGTATGCTGGTTCCGACTGCGATTATGGTTTAAATATTTTTTAGAAAATCCTGTCATGGATGTAGAAACATTTGTGACAGCCAAAGAGGTTTTTTTGAGAAAATTATCTTTGAATTTAGACCAAATTGAAATAGACACTAGGCAACAGGCACATTTGGGCAAAAGAAAGAGAAATTTGGGTTACGGCTTCAAATTTTGGACGTATTTACAAACTTAGACCGACTACAGCAATAGCTAAAACTGTGGAGTCTCTGTTGTACAGTACATTTAGAGGTAACAGTCATACATACTATGGACAGCAAGGTGAGGAAAAAACTTTCAAGTGTTTTGAAATAAATAAAAATATAAAAACTGAACGGTGTGGTTTGTTTATTTCAAAACAATTTCCTTACTTGGCTGCTAGTCCAGACAGGGTTCTAGAGGATAGGAGTGCATTAGTCGAAATTAAATGCCCTTCAAAATCGCTGGATTTATCTCCCGAAGAAGCAGTTAGAAAAAAATAATCAAATTTTGTACATTGACAGACAGAGAATTGAAATTAAAAAAAAAATCATGATTACTACTTTCAAGTCCAGGGACAAATGCTTGTTACGGGTATTTCACAAGTTTATTTTGTTGTATGGACACCCAAAGGAATAAATATAGAAAAAAATTATAAAGACGAAGAAATATATGTAAAAAGATGGCAGATAAACTTCGGAGATTTTGCTTTGGCGCTTTATTGCCCGAAATAATTAATTCAAGAAGAAAGAGGAACCTGCCTCTGCGAGAGATTTTTTTAAAATAAATAAAATTTGTTTCTATTTTATTATGTACTTTAATAATTTATTAGGAGTACATTTTTCATCACCAAGACTTGCACATTTTTATTAAAAATATATTTTGAAAATGATCTCTCGGCAAATGAAAACATATACGAGCACTTTCTTCGAGTAAACAATGAAGGGAGAAGTTACTGGGCGTAGGGCTTTTTTAAAACACCTCCTTTCTGGGATAACTAGTAGATACACTTAGCTACTTATACGTGTTAAACAAAAGCTGCATTCTATTTTTTATTATTATTATAAATATGTTTATTAGTTTTATTAATTAAGAAAGCAAAATATATATTAACAACAATATTACAATGAATTTTTAATAATCATGTGTATTGAATTCAGGATCCTGAGTGGAGTAAAAATATTATAGTTCCCCAGTTTTAATTCGGTTTTATGATAGTACCTCATTGCATAAAAGTTAATTTCTTTAACAATAGATTACTACGGCCGGTCCTGGCGGCTTGTTATAAAACTGAGTTCCTTGCCATAAATTAGAAGAATCAGCCGAGAACTCTAACAATCAGCTTATGGTAAAGCAGACGATAAGGGTTTTACCTGGAAAGTGGCTTCCGTAAATTTTAGTGGCGCTCCTATCGGCAAAGTACTGAACTAACTGCTCAAATTCTGTCGAATTGATACCCATTTTTTTCAATAATTGTTAGTTTTTGTTAAAAACTCTGCTAACCAATAAATCATTAATTTTCCTCTGATATTCCTGTTAAAATTATTCTATTTTAATAAACACATTATTATTTAAATAAATTGTACCACTAACAAACATTTAATGACTCTGCGCCCTGTAAAAAGTGATGTTTTATCCATGTGCGAATTTTCAAGCGATTCTATGATGGTTATGACTTAAAAAACTTGAAAAGAAAACATACAATGGTGCTTTTTTTACGATATCTCTCAGCCAAATTTTTTTAGTTGATTGAACTGGTCTCTGCGCTCTAGAATATGAAAAAAGCTGCAGTTTGATGTATGATACATCTATATTAATATCATTTTTTCATACAAAATCCAAAAAAATGTTATACCTCGTCTAGCGAGTCCCCTTAATACGGGAAAAGTGAGGTTAGATTAGACGATCGATGACAACTGTCATTTGAATTTCAGCGCAAATATGTACAGTAGCGGTCATTTCTACGGAACCACTCGATAAAAAGTCAAGTTGGTAGCCCTGTCATCTAGTACTTTACGCCGAACGCGGTTGGTAGCGGTAGTTGATATGGCAATCGAAACTAGCACAACACGAATGTTTCGGTTGCCCTCAGTTATGCCGCACTGTATCCCGTGCAGACTGTATGTTCTGTTAATCTATTTCTTAAAATAAAATATCTACATTGACAATGGGGCCATCTAGCCTGTCAAATTTTTGACACATATGTTTTCCCCCAGAAACCCGTCAAGGTCACTTACACCAAACAAATTTTGAAAATTTACACTAGGGAGTGGTTCTATAGAAAAGATCGCGACTTTATACTTAAAAAAAAACAATGCATTACAATTACTTACTACTTGAAAAGGAATTGAATTACAGTAATGAATTACTTGTAATTGAATTACTTCAAACCACTGGTACTAGAGCCGCCAAGCCCCCTCTATTTTCTTAGAAGGTATATCATTTGCCAAAATCAGTCTTATCTTAGCAGGTACTAGCCCCGCCCACCCGCCCTCTTATTTCTTATAAGGTACGTCATCTGCCAAAATCAGTCTTATCTTAACACGGGAAAAGTGAGGTTAGATTAGACGATCGATGACAATTGTCATTTGAATTTCAGCGCAAACATACTACAAAAAAAATCACTGGTACCTTAATTTTTTAAATGAACACCCGTTATTTTTATCGCTTTGTTTTGATGGTAATCTGCCAATTTTACTTGAAATGAAAGAATGGGACACTAATGGAATGACATAAAATGTATACATGCAAAATTTGGTTATTTTCCAATTTTTAAAGATTTCGATCATCGAAAAAATATTGTATCTAATACTACCCGCCTGGAATGTTAATAGCCTTCATTAACCAAGTCGTTTGTAAAATAACTACTCCATCACTAATAATAAGCGGTTCCACAGTTTGACATTGTTTACGAAGCAGGTTGTTAGATATTCGATATAATCGATTTCCCTGCTTACGACATTACCTCTTTTCTTCCTCTTGCGGGGTTTACCGAGAATTCCCGGCAACAATAGTACAAAAAACTGATAAACTTCAATCTACCTTTGTAAACAATAATAATTCGCACTAAAATTGTCCCCAACGAACACTATATTAAATTACTTACTCCAGTACGATTATTACTATTATTAACTTGTTCAAAACCGAAGCTCCTGTCGCGTTCATTAAAAACAAACAAGTAATAAAAACTACTTACGGAACACTTCCGGTGAAATTAATACCAGCTAAATACTTCGATGCAGTGATGGTATCCCCGAAAACGGGCCCATCAGCTGGAACGAAATTCACAACTCCCGGAGGAACGCCCGCTTCCCGGCAAATCTTGAAGATGGTCCAATTGGATAACAGCGCCGTGTCGCTCGGTTTCCACAAAATCGCATTCCCCTAAACAAACAAGAAAAAAACACACAAAATCCCCAAAATCGTCCACGGGTCCTCGTTCACTCTTCCAGAACATACCATCAAAGCCGGAGTGTACGCCAGATTCCCCCCGATCGCCGTGAAGTTGAAAGGCGACACGGCCGCGATGAAGCCGTCGATGCCCCTGTACCTCATCGAGTTCTTGGTGACTTTCGGGTTTTCGGAGATCGGTTGGTACTTGGTCGCCTCCTTGAGAAAATATGCGTTCAACCTGTCTTAGGAAAACGAAAACGATTACAAGAAAAAATCACGGTGACGAGATTTCGAATCTCGCCTGAAGAAGTCGATGAGTTCGGCGGCCGAATCGATCTCGGCCTGGATGACGGTCTTGGCCTGACCCAGCATGGTGGCGGCGTTCAGGGTCTGCCTGTATTCGTTCGCCATTAGCGAAGCCGCCTTCTCCCAGATCTTCAGGCGCTCGGGAATGGGCGTTCGGTCCCATTTCTTCTGGGTTTCGACGGCGACGTCGATGGCTTTGTTCACGAGTTTCTTGTCCGCGTAGTAGAACTTGGCAAGTTTCTTCTTGTGGTTGTGCGGGTAAACCTGGAAGGGAAGAGGACGTTCGATTTTGTAGTGTTTTCGGCGTTCTTAAAGAACGGTTGATGATTTTCGTTGCCTTAATAATATGCTGCATAGTCATTTACTCGTATTTTCGGATTTATTGTCGCAATGCTTGTGATTTAAAATTCGAGTAAATCCGGTGTAATTAAGATAAAACTTTTTATTATATTTTTTATATTCATTAGAATATAATTATGAATGTTATTTGCCTACGTCCATTATACTTATATAATAGCAAGCAATTTTTTCATCTGGGTTCTAATTTATAGTGTGTAATTTTTGCTTACTAAGGATACTTTTATGTATTTTGACGTTTCATGACTCCAAAGTACCGAAAAATAAGTCTCTCGTTTGCGTCCGTCCGTCTGTCTGTCTGTCGCCCTCTGTCCGGATTTTTATTAGACAGATAATCTCCGAAACGAGGGGACCGATTGTTTTCAAATTTTATGTGTCTTAGAAATATAGTGTAATTGATAAAACGATAACCAAAATTTGGCTAATCATCCCCACCAACAATAGGATGTCACTATCTCCAAAATTTACATTAGTAAATATCTATTATTTAAATTGTAAACAATAAGACAGATACTCGTACACACGTGGTTTATGAATCGGTGTTAAGTTTTTACCCTAACATCCTGATTTTTAGAAAAAAAAAATCAAAATAACTTTGAAACTTTGAAAATGTTTCGTTTATGCTCCCGCAAAAAACCGTTATTTTAAAGTTTTGCCGAACAAATATTCGTTAAATTTGATAGAATACATACTCCTGCATGTGTGATTTATGAATCCGTGTCGAATTTTTACCCTACACATCCAGGTTTTTGGGGAAAAAATAAAAATTGTATAACAATATTTTATGATTTAACTTTGAAATTGCAAAACCACAAATCTTCAATTTAAATTTTTGATTTTCAATTATTTTACATTTTTTCGTTCTTAAAAGTATCCGATTTTTAAGTTTTCAATTCTTTAATTATCTGAATTTCACTGCTTCTATATTCTAATTTTTTGAATTTTGATTTCTAATTTTTCAAGTTTTTGATTTTTCGATTTCATAATTTTGCAATTTTTCGATTTTAAAATTATAGGATTTTTCAGTTTTGTAATTTAGCAATTTTCTGATTTTTCATTTTTATATTTTTACAATTTTTCGATTTCTGGGTTGCCTAGTTTTTAATGAAATCCGTTTTTCAATTATTAGGTTTTCCAACTTTTTGAATTTTCAATGTTTCGGTTTCGCAATTCTTCGATTTTTCACTTTTTCGATTTTGCGTTTTTCAAATGCTCTATTTTTCAATTCAATAATTTTACAATTTTGCCTTTTTACAGTTTAATACATTATCAAGTTTACAATTATCCAATTTTTCAATTTTGTATTTTTTCTATATTACTATAGTTCGATTTTCCAATTTTTCAGTTTCAAAATTATAGGAATTCAATTTTATAATTTAGCAATTTTCTGACTTTTCAGTTTTATATTTTTACAATTTTTCGATTTCTCAATTGCGTATTTTTTAATGAAATCAGTTTTTCAATTTTGTATTTTTCAATGTTACTATTGTTCGATTTTTCAATTTTTCAATTTCAAAATTATAGGAATTCAGTTTTATAATTTAGCAATTTTCTGACTTTTCAGTTTTATATTTTTACAATTTTTCGATTTCTCAATTGCGTATTTTTTAATGAAATCAGTTTTTCAATTTTGTATTTTTCTATGTTACTATTGTTCGATTTTTCAATTTTTCAATTTCAAAATTATGGGATTTTTAATTTTGTAATTTAGCAATTATTTTATTTTTCAGTTTTATATTTTTACAATTTTTCGATTTCCCAATTGCCTATTTTTTAATGAAATCAGTTTTCCAATTTTTGATTTTTCAATTATCAGATTTTCCAATTTCTTGATTTTTCAATGTTTCGATTTTGGAATCCCCCGATTTTTCAATGTTTCGATTTTGCGTTTTTCAATTGCTCGATTTTTCAATTCAATAATTTTGCAATTTTGCATTTTTACAGTTTCATAAATTTTCAAGTTTACAATTGTCCAATTTTTCTATTTAGTAATTTTATAATTTTTCAATTTTTTTTTATTTTAATTCATCAAAATTTCTATTTTAATCTTTCAAGTTTCTGATTTTTCGATTTTATAAATCTGTAATTTGTCGATTTTTCAATTCTGTATTTTTTCTATGTTACTATTGTTGGATTTTCCAATTTTTCAATTTCAAAATTATAGGAATTCAGTTTTATAATTTAGCAATTTTCTGACTTTTCAGTTTTATATTTTTACAATTTTTCGATTTCTCAATTGCCTATTTTTTAATGAAATCAGTTTTTCAATTTTGTATTTTTCTATGTTACTATTGTTCGATTTTTCAGTTTTTCAATTTCAAAATTATAGGATTTTCAATTTTGTAATTTAGCAATTATTTTATTTTTCAGTTTTATATTTTTACAATTTTTCGATTTCCCAATTGCCTATTTTTTAATGAAATCAGTTTTCCAATTTTTGATTTTTCAATTATCAGATTTTCCAATTTCTTGATTTTTCAATGTTTCGACTTTGGAATCCTCCGATTCTTCAATTTTTCGATTTTGCGTTTTTCAATTGCTCGATTTTTCAATTTAATAATTTTGCCATTTTGCATTTTTACAGTTTCAGAAATTTTCAAGTTTACAATTGTCCAATTTTTCTATTTAGTAATTTTATAATTTTTCAATTTTTTTTTTTATTTTAATTCATCAAAATTTCAATTTTAATCTTTCAAGTTTCTGATTTTTCGATTTTATAAATCTGTAATTTGTCGATTTTTCGATTCTGTATTTTTTCTATGTTACTATTGTTGGATTTTCCAATTTTTCAATTTCAAAATTATAGGAATTCAGTTTTATAATTTAGCAATTTTCTGACTTTTCAGTTTTATATTTTTACAATTTTTCGATTTCTCAATTGCCTATTTTTTAATGAAATCAGTTTTTCAATTTTGTATTTTTCTATGTTACTATTGTTCGATTTTTCAGTTTTTCAATTTCAAAATTATAGGATTTTTAATTTTGTAATTTAGCAATTATTTTATTTTTCAGTTTTATATTTTTACAATTTTTCGATTTCCCAATTGCCTATTTTTTAATGAAATCAGTTTTCCAATTTTTGATTTTTCAATTATCAGATTTTCCAATTTCTTGATTTTTCAATGTTTCAACTTTGGAATCCTCCGATTCTTCAATTTTTCGATTTTGCGTTTTTCAATTGCTCGATTTTTCAATTTAATAATTTTGCAATTTTGCATTTTTACAGTTTCAGAAATTTTCAAGTTTACAATTGTCCAATTTTTCTATTCAATAATTTTATAATTTTTCAAATTTTTTTTATTTTAATTCATCAAAATTTCAATTTTAATCTTTCAAGTGTCTGATTTTTCGATTTTATAAATCTGTAATTTTTCGATTTTTCAATTCTGTATTTTTTCTATGTTACTATTGTCCGATTTTCCAATTTTTCAATTTCAAAACTATAGGATTTCAGTTTTGTAATTTAGTACTTTTCTGACATTTCAGATTTATATTTTTACAATTTTTCGATTTCTTAATTACCTATTTTTTTACGAAATCAGATTTTCAATTTTTGATTTTTCGATTATCAGATTTTCCAATTTCTTGATTTTTCAATTTTTCGATTTAGCGTTTTTCAATTGCTCGATTTTTCAATTTAATAATTTTGCAATTTTGTATTTTTACAGTTTAATAAATTTTTAAGTTTACAATTATCCAATTTTTCTATTTAGCAATTTTACAGTTTTTTTAAATTTCAATTGTTCAAAATTTCAGTTTTAATTTTTCAAGTTTTTTAGTTTACGATTTCATAATTTTGCAATTTTTTGATTTTTCAGTTTTGTATTTTTACAATTTTTCGATTTCTCAATTACCTATTTTTTAATGAAATCAGTTTTTCAATTTTTGACTTTTCAATTATCAGATTTTCCAATTTCTTGATTTTTCAAGGTTTCGGTTTTTTAATTTAATAATTTTGCAATTTTGCATTTTTACAGTTTAATAAATTTTCAATTTACAATTACTCAAGTTTTCTATTTAGCTATTTTCCAATTTTTCAATTTCAAAATTATAGGATTTCAGTTTTGTAATTTACCAATTTTCTGACTTTTCAGCTTTATATTTTTACAATTTTTCGATTTCTCAATTGCCCATTTTTTAATAAAATCAGTTTTCCAATTTTCGATTTTGCGTTTTTCAAATGCTAAAATTTTCTATTTAGTGATTTTGCATTTTTTCAATTTTTTTAAATGCAATTTTTCAAAATTTCAATTTTAATTTTCAAAGTTTTTGATTTTTCGAGTTTTCTATTGTTTTTCTAGGTTACTATTGTCGATTTTCCAATTTTTCAATTTCAAAATTATAGAATTTCAGTTTTGTAATTTCTGATTTTTCAACGGTTCGTTTTTCAATTGTTCAATTTTTTAAATTAATAATTTTGCAAATTTGTATTTTTACAGTTTAGTAAATTTTCAAGTTTTTAATTTTTCAGTTTAATTATTTTACAATTTTTTGTTTTTAAAGATATCCAACTTTTCATTTTTTTGGAATTTACCTACACTTTGTTGATTTTTCAATTTTACATTTTTAGAATTTTCGGATGTCTCCCAAATAAATTAATTAAAACCCAAATAATTATTTATTTATATTAATTATTCATTCTTTAATTTTTCAATTATCCGAATTACACTGTTTCAATTTTACAATGTTTTGATTTTTAATTTTTCATTTCTATAATTATGCAGTTTTTGGATTTTTAAATTGTGTAATTTTTCTATTTTACAATTATTCGGTTTTCAATTTAATGTTTTTGCAAAAGTTCAGTGTTACATTTTAATAATTTTTTGATTTTTCAACATTACAGTTTTATAATTTTTGGATTTTATTATAATTTTTTGATTTTACAATCTTTCAATTTTCCAAAATTTAGATATTTTAATGTTTCGCTTTATCCACCTCGCTATTTTTCGTTTTCCGATTTTTAATTTTTCGATTTTTCTGTAATTTTCATTTTTTTCAATTTTGTATTTTTTCTATGTTACTATTGTCGATTTAAATTGTAAAATAATTTTTCGTTTTTAAAAATATTCAATTTTTCGAATTTATCTACACTTTCTTGATTTTTCAATTTTACATTTTTAGAATTTTTGGATGTCTCTCAAATAAATTAATAATAATTATTTGGGTTTTCAATTCTATAATTCTTACTTTTTAAAAATTTTTTCGTTTTCGCAATTATTCATTATTTAATTTTTCAATTACCCGAATTACATTGTTTCGATTTTACAGTTTTTTGATTTTTAAATTTTGTTAATTTTTCTATTTTCAATTTTATGTTTTTGCAATACATATTTCAGTTTTACTTTTTAATAATTTTTCGATTTTACAATTATCCACTTTTTCAATATTGTAATTTTGCAATGTTTTGATTTTTCAATTTTTCGTTTTTTAATTGTTCGATTTTTCAATTTAATAATTTTGCAATTTTGCATTTTTGTAGTTTAATAAATTTTCAAGTTTACAATTATCCAATTGTTCAATTTAGTAAATTTACAATTTTCCAAGTTTTTGATTTTTCAGTTGAATTATTTTACAATTTTTCGTTTTTAAAGATATTCAATTTTTCAATTTTAAAATAAAATAATTATTTGGGTTTAATTAATTAATTTTCAATTTTGTAATTTTTCCTTTTTAAAAATTTTTTCGTTTTCGCAATTATTCAATTTTTAATTTTTAAATTATCCGAATTACACTGTTTGGATTTTCCAATTTTTTGATTTTTAATTTTTAAAAATTTCTATTTTCAATTTTTCACTTTCATAATTATGCAGTTTTTCGATTTTTAAATTGTGTAATTTTTCTATTTTAAAAATATTCGATTTTCAATTTTATGGTTTGGCAATATAATTTTAAGATTTTACAACTTACCGATTTTTCAATTTTGTAATTTTGCAATTTTTTGATTTTTCAGTTTTATATTTTTATGTTTTTTCGATTTCTTATTATATGGTTTTTAATGAATCAATTTTTAATTTTTGATTTTTCAATTATCAGATTTTCCAATTTTTATTTTTCAATTGTTCGATAGGTAGGTATGTCTATTATAAAATTTCCTCGATTTCAAAATTTTTAGATTATCCGAAATTTCCAAATTTCTCAATTTTCAACTTCTCAGTTGTACACTAACACAAAAAAAGTGTAGGATGTCATTTAGTTTGTTACAGTGTTACTGGTACTCTCTATATTTGTTTCACTGTATAGAGATCATCTAAACAAAAATTCGCAAAATCAAATTTTATCATTTTTCAAAGCGTGGGATTTTTTCCACTGTACTTCAAAGGCGAGGGAAGTCTTGTCGAAATATAACTTTCGATCAATTTTTAATTGTGCTTTTTCACTTTCGCAAATTCGTTTCACTTGTTCTTCCAATTTCCGAAAAAAAATCTGTATTTTTTTAAGGGTACATTTTTGAGAGTGACTATCCTGTTAAAAAATTAATGAAAATTTTGAAATGTCGTCACCAAGTTTAAAATGTTTGCACGATTTGAAAACAATCAGACTTATATGTAGTTGCCAAATTGCAAACATTTGTTTTACAATTTTGACATTTTTTTCAAAAACGTCTACCTCGAAGATAAAAAATAAGGGCGAACTAATAAACCACAAATTATACATTTTCATCCAAAACGGAGTACGTCAGGGGTGTGTATTAGACCTTATCTGTTTCCTGGACTTTGTGAACGATCTCCCTCATTTTGTAAAATCCGCTTAAACTTCCCTAACTGACTTATGTTTCTAGAATTTTGGGAAAATTACGTGATAGTTTTTTATTCATAAAATCAACCAATTTACTATTTTTTTTAAACATCCTGTATAAACAATTTAAAAAAATAAAGATTATATTGTTAAAGCCTTTATCGTATTGTATCTCGGAACACATTTTTAATACCCATTTGTTTAATATATGATTAACAATTTACTATCTAGACATTTCAGTTACTTGTGTAATAAAATCGCCAACAGACGATAAACAGACGCAAGCGGGAGAATTACATTTTCGTATTCTACGTGTTGCATATTTGTCATCACGAGACGGGGCACCATCTTATTGAAACCAAACTGTATTACAGGCTTACTGTAAAAATAGTTGTATTTTCTTATCTTGTTCGTTCAACTGAATTAAATAATTTTCGTTTAATCTTTGCACCTGTTTTAAAAAATAATAAAAAATTGAGGTTGCCATTTAAAATAATATCGATTACGTCATGATGTTGATGTAATCAGCAAAAAAAAAAAAATTAAATTGCTACTAAAATTAAATTTATTGCAGAATTTACTGACTGGTTAGCGAAACGCGGGAGCACTTTATGTTGACTTCAAATTAAAATTAACCGAGAAAGCAAAGAGGGGGTATTTATATTGCTTTTCAAACAGTCACCCACCGCTATAATAATTATTATTAATAAAACTCAACATTAATTGCACGTCAGTCTTTTAAATTTATATGTTTAAAGTTCAACAAAATATTTACAACATTATTATAATCAGATGAAAGACGTTAAATGAAAGTTTAGTCTGCAAACTCGCGTTAATATCAATACAGACAATTCAACCCTCGATTCACCTACCGTCTAAAAACGTAAATAACTAACCATTTCAACATGTAACTGACATTTATCTCGTTTATTTTACAAGGTAATCGGCGTGTTAGGTTCATTATCCAATCCTCAACCATATCCTTGAACTATTTCCGTTCCATTATTATTTCAGTACCTTGACGATGACGTTTCTATCAAGTTAACAATCAATATAATTGCACATACTTCCATTTACGCTCAAATTTCACGGGTTACGTACAGTGTGATTTATCTCCCTTCAGTCGTATTGATATAAGGGCGAAAGCAGACCGAAACCACGCCCCCACAGATTTAACCAATCAAAGAAAAAGAGAACCAGCGAATCTACCAACCTGATACCTGGCATCGTCTGTTTTGTATTCTTTGTCGCCAATCACGATGGGAACGTCTTCCGTCGTCGCAGATGTCTTCTTCAGCGCCTCTTCGAGCTCCTTGCGTTCTTTTGACCCTTTGAGGTATTCCAAAACCGGCTCATTCTTGACTCCGAAATCGCTGATTTTCACCTCGGGCACAATAGAACCCAAACATCTCACGCCCACTCTGGAAATGTATACGTAAACGCGATAAAAAATGCTAACGAATTGTTTAGTGGAACAAATAAATAAGATCAATGTGACACTAAACGCAACGTTATTTTATTTATTATTTTAAATGGGATTTACTTCGCAAAGTTTTAGGATGACGTCATCTGATGTTCAGTCGACGACAGAACGAAAATGGGAGACCTACTTGTCATTTTATAGAAACTCTGAAGCGTCAAAAAAATTAGCAATATTTCGACACTCCCGCAGCGTACGGTCCGGAAATAAAAACTGGTTGTGAACCGTTAATTATTGATTATATTCATTCATAGCCAACTAAATATAAATTTGTGCTAATTATCCCGGTCGCGTAACCACGTCAATGTTTACGCAATTATGCAAATAATTTGCCTATTTTCATCCCAGTTCACCTAAAAATAACCTCGTTGACGGAATCTCCTTACAAAAAAACATGCGAACTCAACCTTGACTAAGCGTTAAAATTAAATTGGTCCAAATCAAGTTAGCCGGAAACAAAACAACGGACTTTGTTCAAGGCGGCTGGGTGCGAAAAAACGCTCGTTTCGTAACAGGGGCGTCCAGATTGGGGTTAATTATTAAAGCATGTTACGCCACTGGCGCGACTATCGATTTTCGCGGCGGTGAATGGAAAGTTCCACAGCTGGAGGTCTCGACAAAGGAGGCTCGCACTGACAATCTCGACGCTGATAACGATAACAAACTGGCATTTATTGATGTTTTTCAATAAATCAAAGGATTCAGACACCCGCGATGCGATAATCTTTATCAATATTTTTTACTGACCTTTGAAAACTTGTAGAGATTGTTTGTTTACATGCAGATAACATTGTGAAGGGGCGTTTTACGAGTGACGGAACTCTTCACGGGAAAATTTTGAGGGAAATTCACCGAACTGAACACCACTTGACGTTCACCATTTGACACTTGCACAGGCCTGGCGTAATGTCAATTTTACGTAATCGTTAAGTGGGTTAGGTTGGCAGCACTTGGCACCTGTGCTAACATTATTTTAATTAATTATAGCTCAGCGGAACGAATCTGATTTGTGGAAAGCCTGACATAATAAAATTTCCTACGAAAAACATTACGGTTCCCCTCCAGCGACGATTCGTGTTAAAAATATAAAATTGCGTGAGAGGTTTACGACCTTGTCTGAATAAAAATGTTCAGCAATGTGTAATTTTCTTACATAAAATAAATATAATTATCGAGAAATTAAGTTTCTAAGTAACAAGTGTTAAAACAAAGTAATTCTGATAAGATAAAAACGACCTTGTGACCTAGTTCGGTTCTGTTGGCAGAGCCGATAAAAACATCGCGAGGAGTTGAGATCTAAGCGAAACATTAATAAATCTGGTTGTTCGATTTTACCACAGACCTATAATAATATCGACACTATTTTCTGGGGCTTCATTGTTGGCATGGTACTCGACTATCTTTAACGGGATACTAATTTATATTTTCTACGTTTATGGTTTTTAATCTGTCAACCTGTTTTAATCCCAGTTTCCCCACGTTTACACTAGACACCAAACCCTCCTCAATAAATCACCGCCTTTTGTTGTGACAGTCGTGACAGTTGAGGTTATGTCAAACACAAACGAAATGAAATTCGACGAAAATATTAAAAAATCACTTAATTTAGCGAATAATGCAACTGCTGTAACGGACGCTACATTCAAAGGATTATTAGAGAACTGTTTTTCAGTTCTTACAGGACTACCAGAACCTCACAGTACGTTTTTAAGCAGTGTAAACAGCAAAATAACCTCATTGTTTCAGACGTTACAAATTTATACAACTCGAAACCGGACCTGGTAAAGGAATTGTACGCCGCTTTACTATCCATTACAGCTGAATTTGTACGTAGCGGTCAAAAGAGCGACAGCATAAGAGATTTTCTTAACAAATGTGGCTACAATGAGGCCAAAATTAGCTTTTATACTGATCTGTATGACAGAAATCGTGAAGAAATTGAAGGTAGTTTAATAAATGTGGGGAGTCATCTTCCTCACATAACAGACGTGACATGGAAAATCGACTATATTATCAAAGTATAAGTGTTTAAGTTTACTAGTGTAATAATTAATTAATTGTAATTTTTTATTTTAGTCAAGTTGTGTCGATGCCAGTGAAGGTCCGCTCTTCCGAATAGGGCTCCAGACAGAGAAATATGACTCCGAAATAGGCGGTAAAAAGGTCGAGCTTGTCAATTTTACATGTGACAGTCAAGAACTTCAAGATTTGGTTTACAAATTAAAAGACGCAGTTCGGCATTGTCAAAGAATAGGAAGTGAGCACTGAGGGGTTCTGCTGATAGTTTATCGTTCCTATATTAATATTTATTGCCTGTTTTTGATATGTAAATAACTTGTACTAATTGATAATGTGTGATATAAAAACGTGTACTACGAAGGTGCAATAAAGTACAAGAATGGGTTTTGTTGTTTTGTGTTTTGCCCTTTTTCTTTTAGGTAAGAATAAAATTCGGTAGTACTTTTATCGTTGAACATAATTACGTAAAATATTTGTTTGAAAAATAGGTGGAAATTGCGCCCCCACTGATCATGACGAAGAATCCATTACTGAAGAAACGCAGTTGTCAGGTGTCACAGAAACACAAGAAAATGCTATAACACAGAAAAGTCTACAAGACACCCCTGAGTCAAGTAAGTATTAATAATTGTGTTGGTCCAAAAAATACTGATTTTTATAGCTACCGCAAAAAATCCTGTTCAACAATGGTTTGAAAGTCTGTCACAAAATGCATCAAGAGGTGCTCAAAACGCAATGAATACTTTTAAAGAGTGGCTCACAAATGTATCACAACGCCCAAATGGGGGAATCCCGCCTGTTCAAAATTTACCCACCATGTATATGGGTAGTTTCCAACTTTTAAAAATGCCTATGCCTCAAATTGGTGATGTTATTAAAGGAATGGGAGATTTAGCTTCGTTGGCACAAACTTTCAATAAAGTGTCGGGATCGAGTGGGTTATTACCACAGGGGATACCTTTACTTTCACAGGGTTTACAAGGGTAAAAAAATGATTACGATATACTTAAAGTAAGATTTGTATTTGAAAAATAAATCCAGTTAAGTACTACCTACTTATTATAAATAATTGTACGTAAAATGCAATACACGTAAAATTAGGGACAATGGAGCAGATAACAAGACAAATCCATAGTTGTAAATTGTGTTTATGGTTTAATGTATCAAAAATATTTAAGCGGATTATCCAGCAGTAGATATCGAGGTGGCAAGATATCGAGACAAATCCTTGATTTATGACCTAGGATTGAGACGGTAACCAGCCGCATAAAATGAATTATAACATCCCATATTATTAAGTTTAGTGGGGCCATATAATCTTGTAGTATCTGAAAGACTATAAAGTGAATAAGATGGTCTTATTTATCAACGATTAAAGGATTTAAGAAGCAAGTACTATCTGGTTCCAACTAACTGTCGGGCCTGCTGCCTGCTGGGAAATCGTAGATCGTAGATCATTTCGAGTTTGTATACTTATTGGTTGCTTGATTCTACCAAAATTTTCTCTCGTAAAGAAAAATTTCTGCTCAATGCATAATAGAATTCTCACAAGTCTGTTTATTTTTCAAATCAATAAACTGTATTATCTGTATGAGGTTCTGCCTTAAGACATCCTGATCCGACCTGGAGACATTCCGTTTACTGGTATATGAATAAGCTGCCTCCCTTATTTAACTCTTTAGGTAGCATTCTTCTAGCAATTACTCATTTTGTCATTTACCCATTTCATTCTTCATTTTGTCAGTCCTTATTTCGGTACTGATAAATGAATTTCGAGTCCAAAATGCCAAGAGTTTTTGCAACTGTCCACGGCTGGATAAAAAAGTATCCCGAATTAGCGCTAGATGAGAATTCTCAATCTGTTTTTTGTAAAGTGTGCTGTGAAACGCTAAGTAAGCTAACCAAATTTTTATCATTGCTATATTTTGAATTTGCCACTTTTAGTTTTATTAGTTCTAATTTCAAACAATTGTTTAATATACTTACTGATATCTTATTGCTTTTGTAGCGGTACAATAATAAGCGAAGAAACATAAGCCGCTCTGTAATCTAGTGGTCAGGGCACCCACCCGGCAAGCGAGAAACGTGTGGTTCGATTCCCACTGGGGCAGCAACATTTTTCCTCGCTTATCTTTACTTTCAATTAAACGCGATAAGTAAAGCATGCACAGTATAAATTAATTTTATTTGAAAAGAAGTTTTCGATGATTCAGCATATTGGAACAAGCCTTCACAAAAATAAGCTGAAGCAAAGGCTTCTCGCAGAATCTTTCTCCAACACCCAGAAGATGACAGATCGGCAAAAATATTGTTTCGAATTGTGGGACGCTTTCCTCACTGCCGATATTCCTTTATCAAAACTGAATAACTCTAAGCTACGATCATTGCTTAAAAAGCGTACCATGAAGTCAGTTCCTGGTGAAAGTACCTTAAGAAAAAACTACGTGGATCCGTGTTTCAAAAAACAAAGTAGGTTATTCGTCAAATTATAGGCGATAATCTAATTTATTTTCATGTCGATGAAACAATTGGTACTTTAAGCAGTGAAAAATGTGGCAGTTCATATTTGATTACCACAAAAGCTTTGGAAAAGAGTAATAATAATATTACTACAAGTGTGATAACCCAAACTTCCCGCCTTTAAATTGACCTTGAAAAAGTTTGATGGCCCGCGAAAAATTTAAAATTTGGCTTTGGCTGTGATCATCTAACAAAATCGGAACCTAGGCTATAAATAAGCTGACAGCTCCACGTCGTCCAGACCGTTCCCACTGAATTTATACAAAGCCTGCACCCCTTGTGCAGATGACGCGACAAATCCTGATAGCCACCACTAGGAGCCGCGCCTTACGCTTCTCCTACGTGTTTCGGTGTTATTTAACCTCAGTTCCATTTTTAAATGTTCAATTTCTTTTAAGTCTGATATTAATAATTGAACAAGTGTTAAGGTTTCAAAAGAGCAATTAAACAATATTTAAATTCGCCATACAATCTTGTGAAATTTTAAACAACAAATAATTCTTAAGTGAGATTAAAATTGAACATCAAATAATTTATACGGTGGAAACATTCATCAACAAAATATTTACAAACAAAACTTAGCAAAGATTTATAAAAAACAAAAGGTCAGCAACATTTAGCGTTGTGAGGACAAGCCTCGATGATGTAATCAATTTTTTGCATTGCGAGGACATGCCTCAGTGATGTAATCATGATAACGATGATAATAACCATGATAACCGCCTAAGGGAAGAAATTATTTTAACCCCCCCCCCCGCAGTTCGCAGTATGAATTTTGTTAATTTAACTACTAGCAATGTTGTGTGAAGAATTAAGAAGTGTTAAAATGTAACACTTACGTATATGCATCCAAAAACCTATTCGTATTTAAACAACAAAGGTCGTCCTCTGTCTAACCACCAACCCTCTAACTAAAATCCCTAGCGCTACTAATTGTCCAACTATCCAGCAAGCGTTACCGTGCACCTGGTTGCCCATGTTTAACCATTTTTTTCGCAAATTCAAATTATTCAAATGTGATTTCGCGCCGCTGTTAATTAACTTCAGCGCGAAAATTTTGATTTAAATTCGGTCACCACACAAGGTTTATTCATGAAGGTTTAACGAACTTTTTTCTTCCGGAACCAGTTCCAACTGAAAAAATTATGAAAAAATTATTAATTTTCGTTAGATGCTGCTACATTTATGTGCAAAGCTTCATACAAACTAAATATATTTTTTCCTTGGTTAATTCATATTACGTGCTTACCTCATGGTATAAATAGTGTGGCTGAGGTAATTAGAAATTTATTTCCAATAGTAAATGATTTAGTGACTAATATTAACAAGAATTTTGTTAAATCATCGTTTCCCATTACCTCCATAACCTGTTGTAGCTAGGTGGAGAGCATGGCAGTTGTATTTGTATCAAAAACTACAATGCAATCAAGAATTTTGTAATGACCTATCAGATACTGTTATAGAATCTAAAATAATTTTTGCTAAAACAGAACTGCTACGGTAGTTGGTACTTATTTGGCTAATTTTTCCATGTTTGCTGCCTATTTTTAATAAAGTGGTGCATATTTCTTCGATTGTTTGATACATACAATTCGAGCTTTAATTACGTACTATAATAAAATGGCACTTTTATTTCTGTGCAATATGTTAATTAATATAATACACAATATTTTTTTTCTTTTTTTCTTCCTTCAGATCATCGCAGAGATTCTAAAAGAATCTCAATATATACCTACAACTTGACACTGATAAAAATGGTACCCTTAATGTATGTAACTGTTAAAAATCATACATAGAACGACCATAATACCAAAACTATAGTGGTTAGTCCACAAAACATGAAATCTTGCACGAAACCCTAACAGAATGCAGAAACAAACCGGAAAGTTGTGGAGTCATTCCAGCGCGATTTCACAATGACAAACATTTCCAAAGTTGCAGTGTACAACGTTTCAGTTCAAGTGTTGACTGTTATTTGAGCGATATGTACCGATTTCATTCATCAACTTTACTACTCTTTGAAACGTCTTCACAATTTTCTTTATTAAGATCATTGAAACATGAAAACGATCAAAACTATTCGTTCCAATACTTCCCCTCGAGGCAAGGGGCGCGAAGTTGACAGTTCTCTGAGAGCCTTGACATATTTATCACACAACGTTAAGTCACGAAGACTCGAAGCACCATGTGTAGTTCGTTCTCGACGAGCCCTTTGTCAAGAAATCTGCCACTTACTTTCTCCTTCTGCCTCTGTGGTGGACAAGGCGTACGTTTCATATAGTTTCGAAAAAAAAGTGAAATTTTGTTTCGGTTCATTTTATTAATTAACATTATTGTAGCAAAGTAAAATTGTCAGTTTTATGATAGTAACTGGATTTATTTCTCAAATACAAATCTTAGGTACTTATGTCGTACTAATTGTATCGTTCTTGCAAACTCTATGAAAGCAAAGGTACACCTTTTGGTAATATTTAAATCACTTGCTCTAGTTTGTGCCAATGAAGCTAAATTCCCTACTCCTTTAACAACATCACCAATTTGGCGGAATAAACGTTTTTAAAAGTAGTTTCAAACGGCGTGAGAGCAAAGGTGCCACGGCATTAAAGGTTTGAACAGCCAGCTTGACGAAATTTCGAATTATTTCAATGAATTCACCAAATCTTTTATCGAAAACCACTGGAAGTGTATTTACTCCGAAAAGAACAAACAAAATATGGATGACATAGCACGTGAAATTAAATTTCTCCGAAAAACAAAACCCTTAAGCGATAAGCAACGCACTGCGTGGATTTCTTATCTTATCGGCAAACCTTTGTTCATTGACCTTGACCAAGAACATGAAAAAAGTATTTATTTCGTTTCTAATCTCTTAAAAACTTTGGAAAAGTATAAAATCCAGTTGGTACTAGTTGGCAAAAAAGTCAATGAAGCTGAATTTAAAGGTTGGAATATTTTTGGAAGCCTTAAAGACCTAGCAGCTGCCAATCAAGCTCTTTATAACAAATTTTGCCACATGTTTAACATTTCGTTCCAAGGGAGAGAGTCTGTATCAATTGATACATTAAAAAATTCGCTTCCTTTAGACCAGCTTATACAACCATCCGAAATTTTCCACTTTTTAAAAGGCACCCTATCTATAGGAAAACATATAAATGCGTTACCAAAATTTTATATTCCTAGGAGTCTACTGAGAACTAAAATCAGTCTTGATGATTTACGACGTGTGTGTGAAAAATCCAAAGCCGTGATACACTGCAATGGTAAATCCGCAGAATTTATGGAATATCTGAAGAACAATTTTGATTCACAAGTTCTTCCTATCGTGACAGATGAAACACAAATCCAAGAAGTTCACAAGCGCTTCTGTCATTTTAAATTACTACCAGATAAAGTTTTGGAATGGATGGATTACAAATTTGATCCAAAAATGTCTTCAATTTTTGATAATGATAAAAGCCTGGTAGTGGGAGAGTCTGGAATTGGAAAAACCACCATGATGACGTGTTTAGCACACAACTGTACACTAAATTACTGCATCGTAATAGTTTCCCTGCAACAACAAAGTTCGCTCTTGAAAGAAGAAGAAACAACTGACAAGATAATAAAAGAGTTTCTTGTTCCTACCAAACGGAGCAAGTTAGACGATCGCGTCACTAAGGAGCTTCTAGAGAAAAAACAAGTAATCTTCTTTGATGGCCTAAATGAACTGACCACCACGCATTTAAACAAAGCAGTTACTCTAATTACCAACATAGCTGAACAAGGGTTTAAAGTCTGGATTTTTTGTACGAAAGACTTCCAAAATATGGCACAAAATGTTCTTGGAATAACGTTCTGCTACTCAATTGAACCTCTGACGGAAGAAGATCAAGAGCAATACGTCTGTCGTCGATTGAAGGACGCAAATGTTGACGATGGGGTTATTGACAATGTTACAACTAGATTTATCGAAAGTGGTATTGCAAAGAACAACGATATTTTCAAACTACCTCTTGTTTTATATATTCTCACCGAGATTATAAAGTCTTGCAAAGATATTGGCAATTCAGAAGAACTTTTCGTCCTCGACAAAATGTACACCAGCTTTGTCGAAGGAAAAGTGCAGCATAATATCAAAAAAATTGGGTGTAACCACCTTGATAAACTTACTGTGATTACTGATCCATTCAAATAAATATATATACGATAAAAGTGGTAGCCTTAATGTATGTAACTGTTAAAAATCATACATAGAACGACCATAATACCAAAACTATAGTGGTTAGTCCACAAAAGATGAAATCTTACACGAATCTCTAACAGAATGCAGAAACAAACCGGAAAGTTGTAGAGTCATTCCAGCGCGATTTCACAATGACAAACATTTCAAAACTTGCAGTGTACAACGTTTCACTTCAAGTGTTGACTGTTATTTGAGCGATATGTACCTATTTCATTCATCAACTTTAAACTACTCTTTGAAACGTCTTCACAATTTTCTTTATTAAGATCATTGAAACATGAAAACGATCAAAACCTATTCGTTCCAATACTTCCCCTCGAGGCAAGGGGCGCGAAGTTGACAGTTCTCTGAGAGCCTTGACATATTTATCACACGACGTTAAGTCACGAAGACTCGAATCACCATTTGTAGTTCGTTCTCGACGAGCCCTTTGTCAAGAAATTTACCACTTACTCTTCTCCTTCTGCCTCTGTGGTGGACAAGGCGTACGTTTCATATAGTTTCGAAAAAAAAAAAGTGAAATTTTGTTCCGGTTCATTTTAATAATTAACATTATTGTAGCAAAGTGAAATTGTCAGTTTTATGATAGTGACTGGATTTATTTTTCAAATACAAATCTTAGGTACTTATGTCGTACTAATTGTATCGTTCTTATAAACCCTATGAAAGCAAAGGTACACCTTTTGGTAATAAATTACTTGCCCCAGTTTGTGCCAATGAAGCTAAATTGCCTACTCCTTTAACAACATCACCAATTTCCGGAATAAACGTTTTTAAAAGTAGTTTCAAACCACGTGAGAGCAAAGGTGCCACGGCATTAAAGGTTTGAGCAGCCAGCTTGACGAAATTTCGAATTATTTCAATGATATCACCAATCTGAGGTATGCGTAGCTGTAAAAGCTGAAAACCGCCTAAATATAAATTAGAAGTATTTCGAAGAGACGGGATTCCATCATCTGGGCCTCGTGCTTCATCTGTAAACTCTTCGTCAACAGTATTCGGTGCGTCTTGAGCATCTCTTGAAGGATTTTGTACTTGTTTTCTAAACCATTCTTGAACAGGAACCTTTTGAACACCTCTCCACCCATTTCGTGATAGAGTTCTAAACCATTGTTGAGCGGGATTTTTTTCATAATTAGTAGGTGCGCAACTTCTACCTATTTTTCATACAAATATTTTGTGTGCTAATCTTTCATGTTAAAAATCCCGTCTGAACTGTATTCTTACCTAAAAGAAAAACGGCAAAACATACAAAAACCAAACCCATTCTTGTACTTTATTGCACCTTCTTAGAACACCTTTTTATATCACTCATTATCAATTAGTCATTCTTTTCTCTCCCTTGTGTATCAGAATGTACGGGGGCTACGAAACAAAGGTTGATAAATTTTATCTGTCACTAATTAACAAAGAATACGATATTGTTTATTTTACATAAACCTGGTTGTCACAGTGTTATCTACCTACTCTGATAGAGATAGTCTATTGTTTTCTTGTATGGTTAAATACATTTTTATTATTTATTTGTCTTAAATTAATCAAACAATCAATGGTTACGATTACGATAATTAAAGTAACTGGATACAAAAACACAAGTTATAACGCGTGATGAGGTGTAATAATAATAATAATAATAATAATATTTATTTATCCAACAGTAGCTTTACACTACACAATTACAGGATAAATATTATATTCTACAATAAACTAAAAATACATAAATAAAATATAAATTATAAAATTGATTCCTAAATAATAAACTCTTCAACAAATCATCTAAAAATTATTTGTAATGACCGATTTTAGTCTGCCTAAATTAATGGTGAAAATGTCAACATCTGAACATAAATTATTAGTACTTCTACACATAGACAATATAGGTGACTGCGCATAATGGTTCGTACTCGCTGCAGATAAATAAAATGTGTCCCTCATCCTACTGTTTATTCTTGGGACTAGTAAATTAACTGATGCCAATAAGTACTCATCGGAAATTACATATCTAATTAATTTTACAAGAAATACAATTTCATGCATAATCCTACGATTGCTTAAAGATACATACGAAAACTCATTCAATAACAAATCATAAGGATAACCATGTTCAACGAAGCTTCTATGCCTCCGATAATACAAGATTTTTAGGTATTTGCGTTGCACTCTTTCAACCATATCAGCATATTTCTTATAGCATGGATTCCAAACAACAGAACAATACTCCAATTTGCTACGAATGTAAGCATTATAGAAACTGACAAGTGCTTGATTATTGAGATCACGCGTATTTCTGGCAAGAAAGCCTAAAATACTGTAACACCCTTTGCACAACGTTTCGACGTGACTGTTAAATGTTAATTTTGAATCAAATATGACACCAAGATCTCTGAATATGTCACAACGTTTCAATGATTTTTGATTAATTGCATATTGGTAAACAATGGTATCCTGTTTTCTTGAGAAAGTCATCACCCTACACTTGTCTTTATTTAGTACCAAACTGTTAGCAGTACACCACTGATAAAGCATGTTAAGGTCAGCTTGAAGTAACTCACAATCTCTTGCCGATTCAATAGTTCGATATATTTTTAAATCGTCCGCATAAAGTAAATAATTAGAAGAAGAAAGACTTTGCACAACATCATCAATAAAAACACAAAACAACAAGGGACCAAGCATTGACCCCTGTGGAACTCCAGTCGGAGGTTCATATATCCGAGACTTGACACCTTGATATTCAACATAGTTTTTCCTACCCTGCAGGTAGGAACGAACAAGCTCAATCAAATCAGTAGCGACAGCGGCGCGAAGGGCGTCTTCTCGTGAAGATCTATTTGCCCTAACCACAGCCACAAGCTGAAGCTTACTTCTGTCCCCACAAAGGATAGGCAGTCTGATTCACTAAGGTTGAAAATCCCCAGTCCACCTAGTACTATTGGATATCGTTGTTGTTAATAAATTGAATCTGAATAAGTAAATGTCCATCATCTGTTTTTTTTTAACGAACATTTACATGATTGTTATCAAATTCTTCGGACATAAATTGTTCGAAATGAACCAAATTAGGCACGGTAATTTTATTACCAGTAAAACTATATTGGAACAGCGTTAGGATTAGGATGGAGATATTCTGTATTCTGTATAACCATTTCAAACGATTTTGAGGAGTTTGATACAATTTATATGTTATATAATTATTCACGGTCCTACATTTGCAAAATCTTCTTCTTCAAATTTCTCCTCCAAAGTGTTGTGATTCAAACTATATTTTGTATCAGGTTATGGGGCCAAAGCTTTGGAAAATTTTACCAATAGGTAGTCTCACTGCAAAAAAAGTATGAAATGCATCTGTAATCTGTAAATCATCAGGAGGGATTTGTGGAGGGAAATGTAACGCAAAAATAAAAAAAAATGCTGGAAATTCAATTTTATGTCCAAATGTGTTTATTAAATGAAAGAAAAAACATTTTTTTGATAAGCAGACACCTCCACCACGTGTACGATTAACAAGTTTAAACCGTCACCACTTAAAACTAAATATTCAGAAGAAAATAACTCACTATCTCTATCAGAGTAATTTTGTGAGAACTAGGTTTATGTAAGTCAAACAATACCTATCCTATTCTCCGTTAATTAGTGATACATAAATTTTATCAACCTTTGTTCGTGGCCCACGTACATTTTGATACACAAGGGAGAGAGAAGAATGCAAATTATTGATAATGCATGATATAAAAGGATGTTCTATACGAAGGTGCAATAAAGTACAAAAATGGCTTTCGTTGTTTTGTGCTGTACCCTTTATGTTTTAGGTAAGAATAAATTTCAGATAGTATTTTGAACATTATCACTAATATTTCTATGAAAAATAGGTGTAAGTTGCTCACCCACTGATCATGAAGAAGTGTCCATTATTAGAGAAGTGAACCGGCCAGGTGTCACAGAAACTGAAGAAAATGTTATAAAACAGAGAAGTCCACAAGTTGTGGACTCCCCTATGTTTATAACATTTTCTTCTTGGTCTCAAAGACAATCCTTTTTATAGATGCTGAAAAATATCTCCTTCAACGATGGTTTAGGTTTCTACCCCAAAATCCTCCAGTAGGTGCTAACAGCGTTCTTATTCAACCATCGTTTAGAAAAATACAAAAAAAGCCCGCAAGAAAGGCTGAAAATGCAACGACGACTTCAAACGATGATGAAATTCCGCCTGTTGAAAAAACTCCTGACACGTCGTATTTAGAGGATTTTCAGCTTTTACAAGAGCGTATTCCTCAAATTGGTTCCGTTATTAAAGGACTTGTAAAGCTGACTACGTTGGCAGAATCTTTTCGTAAAGGAATTGATTTTGTTCTGACAGCATTTAAGTAAATTTTGAAATATTTGTTTGAAAAATAAGTCCAATTACTACTAGGACACTAGGAGTATAATAAAATGACACCTTTATTTGGCTAGAATGTGTTCAATTATAAAATGAACCAATAAAAGCTTTCATTAAATTAAATTCCTTGTTTGCAGTCCACAGCTTCCTGAAGTTGTCCTGAATAAAAAAAATAAGTGACCAAGATATTATTTTAATATATGTATATTTCGTTCACCGAACAGATGGAGTTGTAAAAGTGCGTAATCTTTACGTGATCTAATAAACAAAAAACTTTTAAATAATGCAGATTTTTAAGACTGGAATAATATTTTTATTTATAGAAAAATAATTAAATATTCATTATCATTTTTGACGTTGGTATTTTTATCAGTTATACATCTGTGTTCATCCAAGTATTAAACTCTTTAGATATCCCTATTTTATCTTTTAGATAGAATTGTACTCACCAGATAAATGATTTTTTATAAATAACACATTTTACTTTAGGTAAACCTAAACAATGTGTGTGTTATTCTTTGTGTATTTCATTATATATGTCTAATCGTCTAATCTAACAGCAATCAAAGGTAAAAAGCATTTAATTTAATTTAGAAGCATATTTTTATTTTAAAGTAAATTTTCAGATGTCCTCACATGGAAATCCTGTTGCTGAAAAAAAGGTATGAATTGTAACTTTTGCAAGAAATATAATTAATCTTTTTTATGTGCATGTTATTAATACGTGTTGGTTTAGTAGTATTATTATATTATAATAACGTCCCTATAAAGACTAATAAGAATGTAATATATTTTTTGAGACTTTGTCGTGTCCGAAATATTTTCGGAAATTTACCCTTCTCTAAAATTGTTATGTTTTTTCTAATTTAGTTACGTACTGGCACCGTCAACAGAGGTTATGAATACGAAGAACTAGTACCAGCATATTTTGCTTTAAAATTACTCTTAGATGAAAATGTTAGTTCCTACACCATGAATCTTAACCCTTGCAGTTACCAAAAATTCGACGATATAGTTATTACAATCAAAGTCTACGACAGCATTGAACAATTTGCCATTCAGTTAAAACACAGAGAAGACGGGAGAAATATTGTTAACGCAAAAGAAGAATTTTGTAGGACAGACTCCAACAACAAAGGCAAGGGTTATAATATATCTGAATATTTGGAAGCTTATAACAACGAAGACCCCCAGATAAAAGAAAACTATAAATTCGTATTATTCACCAATGCACGCTTCGATGATCTAGATAAGGTACCAAAATATAACCCTGTAAATATGTCGAAACCTTTTAGGTCGAAGTTTTTAAACGTAGAGCACATTATTAAACTTCGTGGGGTTTCACCTTCAAAGACTAAATTTTTTGAAAAATTTTTTCTTATTTATGGACAACAAAATGTTGATGAGATGCAAGATGAAATAGAACGAATTTTTACAAATAGATTCAATGCTGACACTCAAGTGGTTACCTCCTATATTAATTTTTTTAAACAAGTACACAATGCTAAATATAACGATACAAAAATCACAAGAGATGTAATCATTTTGAACATTGCACGATGTGTGTTTCATAACTGTACAATTATGCCTTCTATCAGTATAAACCATAACAGCAATATAGAAGTAGTGGAAGAGATAATCAAAATATTTGATCTAGTCATTCTTTCTGATACTGACAAATCTTTTATCAAAAACCACTGGAAGTGTATTTACTCCGAAAAGAACAAACAAAATATGGATAACATAGCACGTGAAATTAAATTTCTCCGAAAAACAAAACCCTTAAGCGATAAGCAACGCACTGCGTGGATTTCTTATCTTATCGGCAAACCTTTGTTCATCGACTTTGACCAAGAACATGAAAAAAGTATTTATTTTGTCTCCAATCTCTTAAAATCTTTGGAAAAGTATAAAATCCAGTTGGTACTAGTTGGCAAAAAAGTCAATGAAGCTGAATTTAAAGGCTGGAATATTTTTGGAAGCCTTAAAGACCTAGCAGCTGCCAATCAAGCTCTTTATAACAAATTTTGCCATATGTTTAACATTTCGTTCCAAGGGAGAGAGTCTGTATCAATTGATACATTAAAAAATTCGCTTCCTTTAGACCAGCTTATACAACCATCCGAAATTTTCTACTTTTTAAAAGACACCCTATCTATTGGAAAACGTATAAATGCATTACCAAAATTTTATATTCCTAGGAGTCTACTGAGAACTAAAATCAGTCTTGATGATTTACGACGTGTGTGTGAAAAATCCAAAGCCGTGATACACTGCAATGGTAAATCCGCAGAATTTATGGAATGTCTGAAGAAGAACAACTTTGATTCACAACTTCTTCCTATCGTGACAGATGAAACACAAATCCAAGAAGTTCACAACAGCTTCTGTTATTTTAAATTACTGCCAGATAATATTTTGGAATGGATGGATTACAAATTTGATCCAAAAATGTCTTCAATTTTTGACAATGATAAAAGCCTGGTAGTGGGAGAGTCTGGAATTGGAAAAACCACCATGATGACGTGTTTAGCACACAACTGTCCACTAAATTACTGGATCGTAATAGTTTCCCTGCAACAACAAAGTTCGCTCTTGAAAGAAGAAGAAACAACTGACAAGATAATAAAAGAGTTTCTTGTTCCTACTAAACGGAGCAAGTTAGACGATCGCGTCACTAAGGAGCTTCTGGAGAAAAAACAAGTAATTTTCTTCTTTGATGGCTTAAATGAACTGACCACCACGCATTTAAACAAAGCAGTTACTCTAATTACCAACATAGCGGAACAAGGGTTTAAAGTCTGGATTTTTTGTACGAAAGACTTCCAAAATATGGCACAAAATGTTCTTGGAATAACGTTCTGCTACTCAATTGAACCTCTGACGGAAGAAGATCAAGAGCAATACGTCTGTCGTCGATTGAAGGACGCAAATGTTGACGATGGGGTTATTGACAATGTTACAACTAGATTTATCGAAAGTGGTATTGCAAAGAACAACGATATTTTCAAACTACCTCTTGTTTTATATATTCTCACCGAGATTATAAAGTCTTGCAAAGATATTGGCAATTCAGAAGAACTTTTCGTTCTCGACAAAATGTACACCAGCTTTGTCGAAGGAAAAGTGCAGCATAATATCAAAAAAATTGGGTGTAACCACCTTGATAAACTTACTGTGATTACTGATCCATTCAAAGATTACTACTTCAGTGGTTACACAATGGCTGCTTTACAGGTGTGTTTTGAACCTGAGTTGTTCAAATCGTTGAATGTACAAATCGACAAAAAATTTTTTCACCACGTGAAAGCAAACGGAGATTACTTAGAATTTATCAAAGTCAACGAAGATGATACAATCACGTTTGGTCATTACACTTTTGCAGAATATTTCGCAGCCTTGTGGTTGAGCGAAAACATTGACGAAATACCATTCGAGGTAAAAAAGTCTATTCTGCAACCTAAATATGATGGAATTAGACGTTTTTTTGATGCAAATTTAGCAGAAGGTTGTCCACTGCATTTGGCCATAATCGAGCAAGATATGTCGAAAGTAGAAGCACACCTAAAGTGTATAAACGATGTAGATAAAGGTGGAAGGACCCCTCTTCACCTAGCTGTGACTTTTGGTCACAAATATCCTCTGGTTAGTCCAAATACTATTGAACACAGACTTTACAAAACCTGGGGAAGCAACTCTAACAAGCATGAAGAAATTTTAAAATTGCTCTTAAGCCAAGTTTCCAAGGAGATGATAATCAAACCTGACAAGTTTCTTGGGTGGAATTTATGGGAATATGCAGACGCTGCATTATGTCTGTTTTCGTTAGAAGAGCTTTCAAAAAAAGACCAAATTCAGTGGAAGTATTTAAAAACGCATTATCAACATTTGAAGACTTTGTCGTACTACTGTGTGACCATGGGCTACAAACAATTATTGAAAGCTACAATTGATCACAAAAGTTTGTCTTCTTTAGAAAACGAACATAAAGAAAGACCGCTTTTGCACTTGGCGTTAGAATATAATCAAACCGATATAGCGAAAATGTTGATAGACCATGGAACGAACATCAACCAGCTAGACGACATGCAACGAACACCTTTACAAGAAGCTGTAATTTGGGGACATGTTGATTTGGTCAAGTTGCTGCTAGAAAAAGGCGGCAACGTTAATGCGAGAGATTATTTAGGCCGGACTGCCTTACACATTGCGGCTAAACGTGGCTACAAGAACATTCTTCAGATATTGATTGAAAACGAAGCAGACGTTCACAGTACCGACAATGAAAAAAAAACACCATTACATAGAGCTGCTCGCGAAGGAAAAACAGATATTGTTAAATATTTGGTGGAAAAAGGTGCTTGCATTGACGCACCTGCTGTAGATGTAAGTACCCCTCTCCATCAGGCTGCAGAAATGGGACACTATGAGACAGTGAAAACGTTAGTGGAATGTGGAGCAACTAAAGAAGTTTTCAATAGAGGGAAGCAGACCCCTTTAAGTTATGCTGCTCAAGAAGGTCATGAAGATGTTGTGAGTTATTTGATTAGTGTACAAGCCAATATCTTCGCTGCGGACGATGATGGAAGGATTCCACGAGAAATAGCTGAATCAAGAGGACACACGAATGTGGCAAAAATGTTGAGGGACGCCGAAAACAACATGGATAAGTATGAATTTTATTATATAACTAGCTGACCCCGTGAACTTCGTTTCACCTACAATTTAATTTTGAATCTGCAAAATCGAATGCTTTGAAATCTTTCAGATGTTTTAAACATATGATAAGCATAATAAATTTTTATTCAAAATATATTTACTTATCCCCTCCAAAAAATTGATGACGTCAGCCCAAAATTTTGCCAAATGAATCCTATCTAAAATGTCCAAAATAGGATGAGACTATACTTGTGATTTATCATTCCATTCATATTTTTCAGTTTTGCTTATAGGGGGTGTCTCAAAAAAATTAATCACTGAGTCAATTTATTTTATTGATTGAATCAAGAATTGCAAAACTGAATTTTGAAATATTGCAGAGGTTTTGAAATTACTGTTTGACATGGTAGGTTTTCAATCAAAATATATCTGTTTATCAAGCCCAAAAATTTGAAGACGTCATCTCAAGATTTTGCCGAATAAATTCTATCTAAAATGTGCAAAATATCATCAGTATATTTTCGTAATTTATCATTGCATTCATATGTTTTAGATTTGCTTTTACAGTGACTCAAAAAAATATATGGATCAGTCAATTTAGTTTAGTGAATAACTCAAGAGTTGCAAAAATGAATACTTTGAGATCTTGCAGACGTTTTAAAGTTATTGTAGGCATAGTAAATTGTTAAGAATATTTATTTATTCCCCCCAAAAAATTGATGGAACGGCTCACTCGATTTTCGCAGATAATTTTGGGAATACAATACAGTTATTTTTAGTATTACACTGCACCAATCCAAGGTGGTATACGTGTTGATCGTAAATGTTGATTAGGTCATCACAAAATTGTGTGAAGGAAAGACTCAACTCGAAAGTGCTGAATATGATTCATTATACTTTTGGTGCGAAGCAAGTTCTGTCGAAACAACTTTCGATCAATTTTTTGACAATGGTTGATATAAATAAAACTCAGTAGATGCTCATACTCAAAATACGAAGTATCTACTCGAATATCAAATCAAAATATTTCTAGTTTTTCTAGATGATATTAATACTTCATTAGGTAACAGTTGATGCTCAAGTAGCATTTCGATACAACAAAAAAGGACAACAGTGACAGTGTTCAACCATCAAAGCAAAAATCGAGTCACCAAAATATAAGTTAGTATGGGGTAGACACCTTGACATGGGCCAGTGTTATAAAAAACGCACTGCACAATTTATGCATAAATAAAAGTTAATTACCTGAAAAGTTTTCGATATTCCTGCTCCTAATGTGTTTTTCAAACTGAATGCACCTTTTGACGACGTTCCACGTTCATGAAAGTCGCCATGTTTAGTTAAAATTCAGTCTTACAACAATCCCACTCGTTTTCTAAGCTGCTTTACAGACAGCTCAATTATTTGCCACACCGATCCTCATTTTTAGATTAAATGCTTACAAAACGCGTAGATGTTCAATTTGTGTCCGGGGAGATACAATGTTTCCAAGTAGGTACTCAGTACATAGAGTAGATGCTGAGGTATATAAGAGTAATAATGAAGTAGGTACTACGTACTTTGAATATTAGTTTCTACTCAGTTTTATTCATAACACCCAATGTCTCGCTTCAATGTTTGATTATGTTGATTATGAGCACAACGCTGATCAACTTCCATATCCGAATTACCCATGAAATAAATTATTGCGGTTTGCACTTGAGGTAGTTCATCACACATTTGAATGACTTCGTGGACCTATGTGAGGTTGCCGTCTTCTCGGCATTTTAATGAACTTCATAAAACGACACAGAATTATTTTCACAGTCAATCAAATCTGTAAATTTTGTCTTGAGAATTTTAAAATATTGATAACTTCAAATTAAATCCTCGAATAACGGTAAAGTTTGAGGTTTTGTCGAAACCAACAAAGCGAATATAGGTAAATAGAATGAAAGATCAAAATTAATAAGAAACTTTCGCAATGTGTAATTAAATTCACTTTAACCAAGACTTTTCTTAAAATAAACGACGTTTTTTTTTACGAAAAAACAAACAACGATTTGAAATGCAATATACATACTTTTCACAATTGCACGGAAGAATTAGTTTTGTATGACACGTCAGTTAGACGACAGGTCCGTCAGAAACGCTAACTATTGAAATTCGTATACAAAATTTTTAGAATTTGTTTATTTTTTAACTGTTCTTTTAAGTTTTCCTTATTTTTTTTATCCCATCCCCGTAATATAAAAAATTCTTCAAATCGGTCAAGCCGTTTTTGAGTCTTAGCGAGACTAACAGGAACAGCAATTGATTTTTATTATATAGACGATTAAAAAATGGGGGTTGGTGGTAGAAAGGTGAAAATTTAGGGTTATGTGTATTTTTTGATGCCAAATCTTAAAAAAATAAAAATAAAAAATTTTGTCCAAAAAATAGACAAAAATTTTTTAGGGTGGGCCACCCTTATCACTTAGGGGTTTAAAAAATATTTCACAACCTATTGTCAGACCTACCAAATATACATAAAAAATTTCATACAAATCGGTCAACCCATTTCGGAGAAGTTCGGTTACAAACACTGTGACGGGAGAATTTTATACATAATGCATTATTATTTTAGAACAAATTTCATTACCATAAAAAACGTTATACTGACTCGATCTTAAAAGATAGACATATGCTGTCGCGGACTTTTCTTTAGAACTTTTAGAGGGGAACAATTTCGTCATACATGATTTTTACGTAACTTTAACCGTTTAATAAGCAGCGTAAGCAACGGAAGCTGTCAAAGGAGGAATAATTTCCCGTTTTTCCGAATTTTTCATTGCTGATGAAAAATTCGTGATATTATATAGTCTATATGTAGGTATGATACATGGACTATCCAACATAAAAAGATTTTTTGAATCTGAACCAGTAGTTTCTGAGATTAACGTGTTCAAATAAACAAAAGCTTCAGCTTTATTATATAAGTATAGATATAATACATATGAGTATGTAATAATAACTCGTTTTATGAAATATTAAAAAATTGCAGTTGGCAACTATGAAGGCGCTTGGTAATTTTAGATTAAATAAGTAAATTGTGAAAAAGTCGTCAGTTTTCACTAGAAACCGTGTGTTTGGCTTTCGCCACGAAATTTTGTACTTTTATTTTGCGCAGCTAATTCTTCCGGCTTTCTAATCGGAAAAAGTGTTAATTTTCGACCGACGATACACATGCTGCAAATTTGTTTTATTGTTTGTAAATTCATCGATCAGGTTAGGATTTTAATCGTTAACTGGTGCTAACACAATGTAACAAACATTTGCTAGGAGTTTTCATGAAATTCACTTAGTCAGGACTAGTTTGATTTTATTTGTTTAATTATGAATAAGTTTCTGGATGCCAATACGTAAGTGTTACATTACAATACTTCTTAATCTTCAGCTTCACACACGATTGCTAATAGTTCATTAACGGCAGTTAAATTAACAAAATTCATAATATCGTGAGCTGGCGGGGGATTAACATAATTTCTTCCCTTAGGCAGTTATCATCGTTATCATCACCGAGGCATTTCCTCGCAACATTAAAGACTGATTAAAGCACCGAGGCATTTCCTCGCAACGTTAACGATTATATCACCGAGGCATTTCCACGCAACTCTAAAAATTACATCACCGAGATGCTGACTGGATATTTTTATGTTTATTTATCATGTATTTTGTTTGGGGTAAACAGTTCACGATACAAATTCTCAAAACAAATTGTTTTAAGTAACCAATCACTTGCATCAAGACATCAGCATTTAACGCAATGTAAATTCTTTGTTTGAATCGTTGATAAAGTGTGGCAAATATTACTCTCATGTAATTTTGTTAGCTTTGCAATTTTTCACCTCATGCAATTTTTTTTATCTCATAATTTTAACTTCAGTAATTTTCTTTGTTGTATAATTTAAATTGAACGTAAATTTTCAAGCTTTTTAGTTTCTAACCTCACGCAATATTTTATCTGCCCAAGTTTATTTCACACCAAATCTTTTGTTTTTATAAATCTTTGCTAGTTTTTTTATTTTGTAAAGATTTTGTTGATTTATGTTTGCGTCATATAAATTGTCTGATGTCCAGTTTTTAATCTCAGATAAGAATTATTTGTTGTTTAAAATGTCACAAGAGTATATGGCGAATTTAAATCTTGTTTATTGCTCTTTTGTTGGAACTTTAACACTTGTTCGGTTGTAGTTTAATATTAGAATCATTGAAATTGAACATTTAAAACTGAATTGAGGTTAAATAACACCGAAACACACAGCGGAAGCGGAGTGCACGGTTCCTTGTGGAGCTGGCGGGATTTATCCTAATAAAAATTGAACTCGTCGATGCGTTTTGAATTTCTAAATTTTTCGCGGGTTTTCAATTTTTTTTCACCTGTTAATGTAAAGCGGGATGTTTGGGTTATCACAGTCTTACAAAATTCCCTAGAACAAATCTAAGGATGATTTTTTCGCTTTTCCCCAAACCCACTAAAATATGAGTGCTTGTCTATGTTACTGGAAATATTTATTTTTTATTTTTTTACATGCGCTTAAGCGGTGTTGTTTTTTTTTCTCAGCGTAAAATTTAATCTTACAAATCGGAACACCACGCCATCCATGATTTGTATTCGTCAACTCCTTCTTTTGCCGATTTTCCAGTTCTGTTCAGAACATATTGCAATATTATAACTCCGCCCTAATAAAATAAAAATCTGGATTAGAATAGTTGAAAGTTCTTGTCATTTTCACTATTGTACGAATCCATGTTCACTGCCACCGTTGATTTTTTGAAGTGTGTCTATTTAAGTATTTTGTGTGCTAAATCCATCCTAGGGCCCATAACCTGTTGGATCTTGTTTCTTTGAAATACACATATAGTTATTTATACAATAAACTACTATTTTAAATAGGTACCTATTTAACGTTCATTATCTTTTAGAATCCCAGATCCGCAACAGAATCAACTGCACGCTGCCGTAGAAACCGGACAACTAGAAACTCTGAAGCAATTGATAAACTCGGGAGGTAAAATCGAAGAAATCAACAAAAACAATGAAACTCTTTTACACATCGCCGCTGCTCGCAATCACTTAGACATCGTTCAATATTTGCTATCAAAACAAGCAAATACCTTTGCCAAAAACTGTGACGGACGGATTCCTCTACATTTGGCTTGTCAAAACGGACACATGAAAATAGTCAAAGAACTTTTAACAAACGATCAGATGGCTGCTGTAGATCGATGGAAACTAACTCCACTCCATAGAGCTGCCCTCAAAGGTCGCAAAAAAGTAGTCAAAGTCTTAGTGGAAGCTGGAGCTGACATCAATTGCTGTAGCACCGACGGTGGTACTCCGCTGCACAGTGCTGCCCGTGGCGGTCACATCGACGTTTTAGAGTACCTGATTTCTCAAAAAGCGAGTGTCAAAGCGAAGAACGCTAAATCCAAGACGTGCTTGCATGTTGCTGTTCAAAGAGGTTGCACGGATGCAGTTGAATATTTGATAAATCAAAAAAGAGAAATTGTACACGATATTGACTACCGCGGAAGGACTGCTCTTCATTTCGCGGTTGAGAAAGGGTATAAAAATATGGTGCCAATTTTACTGCAGGGTGGTAGTGATATTAATAAAGTAAATTACTACAAAGAAACACCTTTAGATATTGCACGGAAAGAAAATCGGAAAGAAATTGTCGAGTTATTGAAGAAAAGCGGTGCAATAGATGATTGAATTGTAACTGTTTAAGTTTTTTTCTATTGGCTTTTTTTAGTTTGTAATTACTATATCTAATATAATGAGATGTTGTTTGCATTTTTACCCATCTTCTTGATACAATCACAAAAATTAATCAAACTCAGCATTTGAAGTAACTGCTTTGGTTTTATTGTATAAATTTAACCTAAACTACATAATTGTGACTTAGTTTGAGTGATGTGGAGTTAATATTTTAATACTGACCACTAAATATTTTCACAACGTAACTTATATACAAATATGGCTGACGAAACGTTAATTTAAACAACAATCCACAACCTCTTCCAGGTCATTCATTATAAATAACTTCGAGAAACATTAAATAAGTATAAGAAAATAAAGTTATTAAAAAAACACAGCAACAAGATTTGAACTGGCCCTAAATTAATCTAACATAACATAAACTAAAAACCCTGATAAAATTCGAAATGGAAAGAAAACATGTACTTGATTAGTCACGTGACACGTTAATAACTATCCAGTATATACCCTATACGATTAATAAAAAATGTCGAGTTAATGCAAAATTCGAGTAAATCAGTCCGCCATCTTGACTTAACCTAACAATCCTTGCAGATTTTGGACGCCATAACTGCCAACGGTTCTAACTCCTTCTGGCTGACCAAGTCAAACTCGGTCACGAAGTAGTAGAAGTGCTTGTAGCACGTGTTCACGTGGGCTTCCTGTAAAATTTTAATTAGCAACATTGGAAAAAAAAGTCACTAGAACTTACCGCAGCTATAGTGACTATGTTTTGGAAGTGATGTATGTAAACGTGGACAAACACTCGGTGTAATCTTGCCAAAATTTTGCTGCAAAGTTTTTCGAAATTTTTTGGGAAAGGAAGATCAGAGGTGCATGGGAAAAGAGCTGGATTGTTTATTTGTACTTCGATCCAGTCCATCAAATTACTGATGTATTCCTTGGCTGGTAAAGGTGTCGGTTTCTTGTACTTTTCTCCATCAGCCCAAAGATATTCGAAACGTGGTCCCCCGGACATAGTCGGACATGTTTGCTCGGTGCAGTAGTCGGAAATTGTGCCGTAGATTAAGTTTATTCGGTTGAAAAAGTCCACAACTGGAAAGATGTCAGGCTGGTATAAATGTGTAATTTGAATTCAAATCTAACGTCTGAATCTGAGCACTGGATTGGTTGACTATGTCACGTGATTGATTAATTACGCGATAAAGTACTTGTCAAAACCGAATTTTAAATTCTTACTGTTTTCAAGTTAAACATTCAAAATGTTATTTATTGACACCCGGTATATTTGATGGCGTCGTTTTCAATATCAAGTATAATTGGTTGCATAATTACAGCGCATTTCTGTGGGTGTTAGGTTTGGGAAATTTTCTTACCATGAACGGCTATCCAGTCGTTTAAATCCTCACCCTCTGGTAGTTTGACTGCACCTCTCAAATTAATCCCTGAGTTGAGACTAGCACAGGCTTGTTTGTGCAAGCTATACCTGATCGTACCATGAGCAAACTTCTTCTTCGGTCTGAAGGTCTACAATCAATTTCACACGTGACACCCGTTAAAAGCACTAGCATGTAACTTACTCTTCCCTTCTGGAAGAAATCAAAAAATCCATTTAAAGCCATGTCGTAATAAAGCGTATAAACCGAATATAAACATTTATTGGTTAGGTAAACGTCAAGTTTATCGAGCTGTCAAGCAGCGACGCACTCTGGCAGCCATGTCGAGAAGCTCACAATTTGCAAGTTTTGCAAAATTATAACCCTTCGTCAGCTTTCTTCAGTACAGTAGTTGGGTGTTTTGCTTGAAATGACGATTATTCTGAAAGAATTGTTATGGTTTTTGCGATAGTTTCGCCGCTGTGGTTGGAAATTTTGGAAAATCCTCAACGAAGCGCCCCCTCACGGCCACCTGTCACATCAGAATCTGCAATGGCGTCGTTGTGTTTGTGATTGAATTTGAGATTTTTGTGAAAGCGTGTGTTTCCGGAGTGTTCTAACTCGAATCGTGACACAAATCACGCATGGAAACCTCCGTAGACCTTTGAGACGCGGCCCCCGTGACGGTGGGGAGGTTGTGCCGCCATCCAGACCGCCACCATTTCGGGGGTTGCTTTGGGGGCATTTTCGCGTTCGATATGCGGAAAAATGGAGACGAAACTGTGTCGAATATGCGGGAAACTTAGCCAAAACTACGTGGACATATTCAGGACCGAGGGCCTCAAGCACAGAATAGAGACATGCCTCCCCATAATCGTGAGTCTTTGTTAGTGTTGTCGTTTTTGTTCTTATTTGTTGTTGTAGGTAACTCCCCATTCCCTCCTCCCCGACACGATCTGCGGGGACTGTTCCGACAGCATTAGCAGCTTCTACGCCTTCATCAAGAACTGCTTGCAGAACATCATCATCCTCGAAGCACAGTATGACATAACCGAGTCGTGTTTGAAGTCGAAGCGCCGCTACGACAAGAGCTGCTGCACAGACTCGCTTTCCGATAAACAAGAAAAAAATACTCAAACCATCAACTATCTTGATCTCCTCCTTAAAGAAAGTGAAGAATTCCACTATGACTTTCCTAAACCTAACCTCATAAAGCTCGTCGACTATGACATCGAATCTGACACAAACTCGGAGCCCGAGGAGCCTGTTCGTGCAGCCAGCTTGCTTGATAGCCTCATCACAACCAAAAACAACTTTGGACGTAAATACTTTGATGATGCCGAAAACTACCTGATCAGCGAAATAACCCAAAGGAAGAACCGCAAACGGAAAAATTCACAAGTGATTGAGTCTAGTCTACCGAAAATTTGTAAGATTGATAGGCGGAAGAACAAGCAGCCGAAGAAATTCGAATTGAAGGCGCCGGCGGTCGAGGTACCGAACTTCAGCTTCGCCGGACTGGAGGGGGAAAGTGGGACCAATCAGAGGACGCCGCTGCTGACCAAGGACATTGGGACTTTACCACAAGTGTGCTTATTATGTGATGATCAGTTTTCGGGGCCGTCCATGTTGGCTAGTCACGTTTTTGAAACGCATGGAATTGATATGGCGCATATTGCGGCTTTGGCGGACGACGCCGCCAACGACAAAAAGAAAAAGTTACCCAATTTACTCAAGATTTCCGATCTGAGGAAGAACGATTCTTTAGGTGAGTGGGGGCGGAGCTTGGGCGGGAAAGGGGCGGAGCTAAAAATGTTTCATGAAGTGTGGTTAATATTTTATTAGTACAATGAATCAGGCCATTAGTCACGACACTACCTTGAGTTATTGTGTATTGAAGGTTTAATCATTAGATTTGGAAAAACTGCTAGCGGAATATAAAAAAAGCTTTAGAATTTTTTAATCGATTGTCCATAAAAATGGTAAAATGACACTATTTGTGCAATTTTTAACAATTAAAATCGCATCAATACTTATCCAGATACATGAAGAATTTGGTTTGCTTCTCGACGTTTCGTGACCCTTGAAATCTGAAAAAATAACTACCATACCGATTGTTGTGAGACTTTAATGCATAGGAATATCGTGTCATTGTAAAACGGTCACCAAAGTTTGTTTAGTCATCCCCGCCGACAGTTTAATAACATCACCACAAAATTTTGCATGGTAAATGGTAGCGAAGTTTTCTACAACAACGCTCCTGTATTTGTGGTTTTTGAATCTGCCTTAATTTTTTACACTGTGCATCCAGATTTGCGCAAAGAAAATATACAAATTGAATGATGATATTTTATGCTAATCTAAGAGGACCGTTCAACCATTCAAGAAGTGCTCGTTGCCACAGATGGTTGGCATTATGATAGATATTATCTATTTTTTTTATATATAAAAAAAGTGGATTTGTTTGATTATACTTAAGGGGCGCGGGAAGTTCTATCTAATTACACGAGACAAATTTTTTGTCTGAAATAGTTGCATTATTTTTGGGACGATTAATAATCGTATTGCTATGCAACGAAAGAGCTTTTTCAGTGTCGGGAGTTTCACAGCTTGTAGAATATAAAAACGCGTATTTCCTTCATTTCATTTGTCTCTTGTCTGTTGGTCATTTTATTGTACTGAGATCTCCTATATTGCCAAACGCTAATGTAAAAATTTGGGTGTGCTTTAAAATTATAATTAACATTTAAAATGCCAGCCATAGAAAAAAATTGATGACGTCATTTCAAAATATTGGTAAGTAAATTTCACTTTACTCGTACAGCATCGCACTTTCCTTTGCTTATGGTGTATTAATTGACTCTGATTGTTAGCTTTGGTTGTTTGGAATGTGTTAAAAAAATCGTGTAAAACTAAAACACGATGGATTGAATCTCTCAAATTCGTAATTATGTTGGTTGCTTGCAGGAGATCATTTAGGGAGTTTCAGTTGTTATGTTTAACACCCTGACCTTCACATTGACTTTTTGTCATTTCGACAGTTTTCAAAATGAACAAGTAATTTGCTATCATTTCAATTCTTATACATGTTTCGTTCATTCAAATTCCAAAATTTCAAATAGTATAACAAAATGACGGACAGAAAAAGAAGACTTTGTTGTCGCTACAAATGAAAATTGCGCTAATTAGCGCAATTAATTAAATGTAGCGGAGAATTGCAATCCGAACAATCCTTTTTGCGTGATAAACTTGGCAAGATTTTTTCGGTAAGAATTGAAACAAAAATAAATATGTAATTGAGATTATTTCCGTTTTTCTTTCTTATCTTTAAAAGGGAATAAAACTTGAATTGTTTCTCTGTAAACAACAAAGTTTTGTTATTAAAGTACTTAATCTAATTACTAATCCTACCTGTAAACAACAAAGAAACAACATTCAATGTTATTATTCACAATATTTTACGTTATTACATAAAATCACAACGCGTTAGATCCAATAACAGTGACTATTCCATTCATCTGTCAATTGGTTAAAAAGAGCCAATAAAAATTGTACTTTGTGTGGGCGTTAGTATGGTTATAATGTGTTGTACCGGATATATCTTCCCAGGAAGGTATTCAACTGACAATTTTTAACAAAAGAAAGTCGATGACAAATTAATTTATTTATTTGTCAGTGACATTAAATGTACAATTTGAAAAGGTTACATTCGTACAGTTTTGTAATAAACAAGAAGCTCCACTTATAGTTTTATCATTTACAGTATTGTTTACTTGATTAACTGAATTATTTCGTATTTTATTAATAATTGATTTGTGATGTTCATCGTCAAGTTGCAAATATGGTTTAATTGAGTGAACGTTCTGGTGTCCTGTGATTTTCATCAACTGCTGTTCTTCGACTCCAGCTTTAGCCAAAGCAGACACCGCTGATGAGCGCACAGAATTATTTGATATTTTCCTTCTTTTAATATCTAAACCAGTCACTATTGTTAACGACTTTACCCATTTACCAATTTCATTAACTCCAACGGGACTATTTTTGTACCACACTGCATTTTGAATTTTGTTCCAAAAAGGATTGGGTGTTAAGAACATTCTGTCAGTGTTTATGTTATTTTCTCATTTCATCATTAGTAGATGATACAGCCTATAAAATGGAACAGTTTAATACACGACATAAAATGGGAAAGAAAAATACCTAACGGGGCAGAGGTTGGGGTTGTCTTTATTTTTCGTCAACCATTTACTACTTGTTATAAGGCGCGTGATTTTTTTGTGTTCCATGGTGTGCTTTTGGATATCTCGGCATCTATTTCTTCTTCTGATTTTGACCCAAATCTCTTTTCTTGCATTTGCATGTTGAAATCACAGAATAACATCAAAAACTGCATCAAATGTCACGGAAGTTTTATTAAAAAAAAATGTTTATTATCTCGGTTGATATGGAAATGAAGGCATGTGTAACTTAATTTTTCTTACTTTTTGGTTGAATTTTGATCTGAAAAATTGTTGATTCATGGAATAGTCCCTCGAATACCATGCGTAGTCAAAGTTAAGTCGTATATTTTTGCGATTGTTCCACTCATGGGCATTTCGCTTGGAAATACCACTCGTGCTTCGCACTCGTGGTATTTAAATCCAAGCGTAATGCCCATTCGTGACACCACCGCAAAAATATTCGACATAACTTTGACTACTCATGGTATTATAAGTGAAAATACTTAATCCTTATCCTTACATCTCCCCCCTAAGATAAAAATTTTGGTACAAAAGCTTTGGTACAAATTATAATACATAAGCAAAAGCAGTTAATAGCTAAGTGCCTGTGGTGGTTCCTCCTTTTGAAGTACTTGGAGCAGGCATGAGTTTGGAGATATGAAATAAATTTGATTCTGATTTTCTATGTATGGTATTTATTTCGTATATACAATTTGATATTTTCCTTAGGATTTTGTAAGGTCCAATTCTTAATACTTCTAATTTTTTCCGGTTCAGTCGGTTACCATTTTCAACATACACTAGTTCTCCAACCTTGAAGTTATAATCTATCCTATTTTTGTCATACAGTTTTTTATTGTAGTCATGATTTTTTTTACTGTTTTCAAAGGTAATTGCTCTATCATCCTCTAGATCATTACTATCTTTCTTCTTTTTCAATTCCTCTGGTAATACTGATGTATCTTTACCTAGTAATAAATATTTTGGACTAAACCCTGTTATTGTATGCTCGGTTTTATTGTATTTATTTACACAGTTATGTGCTATGCTTGTCGATGCACATTTGTTCTTTTTTTCTTCATTTATTACACATCTAGTTTTATTTACTAAAGTTTGATTGAATCTTTCATTCAAACCATTCGAGAATGGTGCGTTAACTACTGTAAAGATCATTGTGATATTTTTTTCTTCTAGGAAATTTTTGAAATCTTTAGAATTTATGCCTGGGTATTGGTCAGTTAAAAGTATTTCGTTCTTATGATTTCTTAGCACATTTTTTGTCAGTTTAATAAAATTCCTCGCGCTTTGTGTCTTTGATGTTACTATGTATGTAAATCTAGTAAAATGATTTACTAGAAGGTGTAAGTATTTTTTAGTGGATCGTCAACCACCGAATCCACCGATTGTATCTATGGAAACCACTTCAAACCCTTTTTTGTGGGATCGAGATGTGACATTAGACCAATTTTACTATGTCTTTTTGATTTATTTTGTATGCGAATTTCGCAATTTTTGCAAGCTTTTTCGATATTTTTTGATATATCTTCTGCCGTATAGTAAGGTAGTATTTTGCTTTGCATTTGTTTTATGTCTATGTGACAAAATTCCTTATGGATATTTTTTATAAGTTTTTTACAAAACTCTTCTGATAATACAATTTTCTTCTTCTTCCTTTCTTTTCTATAATATATATTATCTTCAAATATTAGATTATTTTTATTATTTGTTAAATTTTCGTTACCCTCTTGGTCTTGTATGATATCCTCTATTTTTATTAGATTGACAATTTTTAATTTATCGTCTTCGTCTTCTTGAGGCTACAGTACTGGGTTTCTGCTTAAGCAGTCTGCTTCCAAGTTATCTCTACCTGGGCGGTATATTATTTCCATGTCATATTGTGATAAGTAGAAACTGAGATCCCCTAATTCTTCGTCCGTTCTAGCTTTAATATTATTTTTTTTCACTAGCAGCCTGGACGCATGCAAATGTCGACTCATTTAGTGGTAGCAAATTGAACTTTTGCGACCACCGGTTCAAAAAGAAAAATTGAGGTTATGTACGAAATGTTTGATGTGATTATTTCTTAAAAAATGAACAAATGTGTGCTACAAACATTACTTGAGTATACGCATGGTAGTTGGTAGATGGTGAGGCCTATTCTGTAAATTTTATGTTAAAATTAACACCCTTGTTAAAAGTTAAATTATAACATGAACGTTAAAAAAATAACCGCAATCGGTATTCTTTATCACCATTTTTAACATATCTGGTTAAATTTGCAATTTATAACAGGGGTGTTAAAATATACAAGGTTGTCAGATCGAGTTTCAATATCTATCATTTTCTATCGTACTAAATGCTAGACTTCCATCTTTGTTGTTCAATTATTTGAAAACTTGGAAATATTGAGACTATCGAATAAATAATAAATAATTTTTGCAACTTTAATGGGGTTGTAGTATAACGTTCAGTCTTTTAAGGTGCATCGAAAGCCTTCCATTCAGTACTTCCACACAATTTCTGCTCCTACGTAATCTTTGATTAATAT